AGCAATGGATCGAATGCTTAAGGCAGGTTGTGTTGACAAGCTGCCCCTCCAATCCATCCTGACCAATCTATGCCGTAGCTCTAATCAAGGATTGCGGGCTAGTAGAGGCATTCCCCGCCGTCCATAGATGGCGCCTACAACCACACAAACCAAATGTGTAGCCAGTTGGTATGTGCCGGGTGATTTGTCAGCGTGCCCTGCAGCAGTTGGGCTGAACTCTGTTCCGATTTGCATTGGCAGCAATACTGAGTCCACTTGGTGAATGGTTTCTTCAAGGATAGCGTCCAGCACAGCAGTCAACAAGGCAAGGCTCTGTCGAAACACTGTTTTTACCATCAGCATGGACAATCTGCCGCATAAAATCGTGAACCTCGGACGGGAGAGAATGAACAAGCACACCAAGCATGCAAGAAAAACCCTACTTCTTGGCCACTTGTTCATGTATTTGCTAAAAAAGGCTCGACACTGCTTCCACTTGTCAAAAGTGGTGTGCTGTTCTGAGGCGTCAGTGGAAAGCCTTTCACCTGCAGGCGCCTGCACTCCTTCGATCAATTTTGAAGCCATGAATTGCTTGCAATACTGCCCAAAACGAGCATCTCCTTTATAGCTCTTGGACCATCGGGCAACTTCGGACTCTGGGATGTCCCCATATCGAGCACCCCGTAGTGGTCCACCGCTAATGACAACCCTTCTCATCTTTTTGACCCATCCGGGCCCATCTTCGGCAGGCGTCACTGAGGATTTGGCCATGGCAGTCAAAGGGTGAGCTATCTAGGTAGACACTGTGATTGAGTTCGGTGTACAAAACCTTAGGAAGCTGCAAGAAAAATGACCCTCGTCTTAACATGGTTGTGATCTTCTTGACCGACTTTTTCGTGAGGCGCTGGAGCAGTTGCTGCGACTTACCCACCTGAACGTAATGTTCCAGGGACTGAGCATTGGACCATCTCCCCATCAATCTCAGGCGCCCCACATCCATGTGCTCATCGTAGTAATAAGTGGCTCCCCCAGCCCGGAGTGAAGCAGGAGTAAACTTACATGAACCGCAGCCGAATCCTTCGGAAACTATCTTAAACAGTCTCCTAAACTCAGCATGGGAGTGAGGCCAAAGGAGTTGATCTGCTTTTAAGTCCTTACAGCACCATACGATCCAGTTACAAATGTCTGGGTGTGACACTGAAGCAAACTGGCATGTCCCGAGCTGCCGAAAATTTTTTGGCTTTGTGATGCTGACTGTGATCGACGGGAGGGCAAAAATCAAACTGTTGGGCAAATCCAAGTGTCTTCTCTGCAACGAAAGCAGTTCACCGGGACGCAACAGTCCAAAGAAACCCAACCCTAGCAGGGCGCCGAACTTCAGCCATTTCTGGCCACTAGCTGTGTCCAGACCTACTTCAACAGATTTCATCCGTGACATACACGAAAAAGCTATCAGCAGGGGCAAAGGCAAAGGCGCTCGCATTCCGGAAGGAACACACTCCTCCCAGGCTTTGACCGTGTCCCAACTGCTTCTCAAGCGATGTCTCAAGTCAGGACGATTGATCTGAACAAAGAGCAGTGCATGTTTGACCAGTCTCAGATTGCTACCTTTCCGGTTTTCTTGGTGGCACTTCCCGACAAAAGTTTCTAACACTCGATCGATCTGTTCCGGTTTTCGACGTAGCAAGTGATCAAAGGAGCTGTCTTCCGACTGCAAAAACTTTCTCAGATGCTTTCCTCCAGCCACGAGCCTACCTTTATAGGCTTGGCTATATTTGCTTAGCCGCAACTTCGAACCCTCCATGGCATCGCTACGAGTGCGTACAAAAAACTTCCTGCATATTTTAATGGATTGGCTATGACTGCTAAAAAACTAGGTTGATTTGAATGGAGTGTATGCTTTACGTGTCAAGCAGCTTCAAGCACATGCGGTAGTAGCGCTCACACAACGCTTGGGGATAGGCGCCTGCAAGAACTGACCGTCTCTGCCATCCTCCTTTTGTCTTTACGCTACCAATCACTTGAACATGCTTGTGCTTCTGGCAGCATGTCTTGTGGAGAGACATCAAATCAGGTACGGTCCCTGCAAAGCTGGTTGACTTTCGGGCTGGCAGATGCTTGCCGTTGTCATCTGGAATGCGCAACCCATATTCACACTGGTCCAAGTTTACCTTAGTACCTTTACATTCGGAGAGCAGTTCAACCAGTCTCGGCATACACCAAGCGTATGAGCTTTTGGGGTTTTCGATTGTGAAGAAAGAACCGTGTTCATGTAGTAACCGACAGAGATGGCATGTTCGCAACAAGATCAAGTTACCTTTTCTCTCGCGTTCAAGACCCCCATCACCTTCTGGTTTGTCTTTACTACGTGTCCCTTGATTCAAACCCTGTAGAATCGAAAAGCTTCCGCAAGGCATCCCAAAATGCCAAATTTGTTCTGGTTTTTTGGCATCTTGACAAAGCTGTGCATACGTTTTAGGGTTAAGAATGTCATGTTCTTCACACGGCTTACCTCGCTGGATCAACTCAAGGGGCTCGTCCACAGGTAACAAATTGCGGCGCTTGAACGTCCGCGTCAGCTCACCTTTCCCCGCAAAGATCTCACGGAATGTCCAGCTCTTCAACGCAGGATGCTTTCGCGTTCCTGCTTCTGCACCCGGCACTTTGGATTCACATATGGCCTTTTCGGACGGATCTAGCCTCGCAATTTTGGCTCTTCGGTTTATTTCACGGTTAGATCTGCGTACCTGCAAAGCTGCTCGTTCAGGCTCACTCATGAATCCAAGTTGCGCCGTCAAAACTGGATCATTTTTTGCTGGTGGAGGTATTGGAACGCCACGGGATGGATGATCAGCTGGATTACTCTTGGTTCCTACCCATACCAAATGTAATGATACTTGACCTGCGATGGACCAACCGACCATGGACCTAAGCAATCGATTCAGCTGCTTGGATGACGACCTCCCCCTTCCGAAGGCCCCTACCACCACTCTCGAATCAACCAACAACACACAACGTTGAGGGTCACCACCATGTTTTACCAGTTCTTTGAGTTCAGCTTTTACCATGCGCATTTCAAGGATGTTGACGTGCTGACGATGGCTAAACTTGCACATCTGGCTTGTGGTCCAGCAGTGTGCGTTCATCAAGCTCTCAACTTCTGCCGGTGCTTCACGCATTTGTGATGGTGGGATGAGAGCACCTGTTGACCAATCCATGTGGACATGTTCACCAGTATGTTCGCTGTACCTGAACAACGTTTGAGCAATGGCGGTACTGGTAAGACATGATGCTCTCCCTCCACCTTGCAGCGAAGCGTCACTGCAACCGACACGAGAGCTGACAGGCCACCTAGCATTGCCGTGCATCACGGGTGTGCAAAGGCATAACCACAGCAACTCTTCCTTAACTGCGTTTGGCATTTTGTACATCTTTTTAGGATCCATTTTGCCTATGAACTGATACACTTCTTGGAGTAGTGACATCAACAACCGACGGTGCATAAGGGGGTGAACAAACAATCCTACAGCTTTTTGCATGAGTTTTGGTTCACGACAGGTAACTGACATATTTCGCGAATCAGCTCCGAAAGGCTTTTCAGTTTGTCTAAACTTACCCCTACTCTTCCGGATTTGCTGTCCACGTTGGTGCCCCATGCCGTGAAATTTGAGCACTTTGTGAATTGCTTTTTGGATGACACGGGAAGTCCTAACGATGCATATTTTTCCCTGCTCTTACTTATGATCTCTTCATCTCCGTACTTTTGCTTCCGTTTTCGTAATTTTCGGCAGGGGAGGATTTGCATCATCAAGTGATCATCTATGTATAACCCCTCTAGTGTATGGGTCGCTGGAACAACTTTTTTGTATGCCAGGGTTTCCGACTCATCCATAGTGCCGCAATCTTTTAGGAGTTGGCGGTGTGTCTCTTGGGCTAGGTCTACGGCATTACGATCACCCATGGGAATCACCCTGAACGCAAGCATATACTTCTTGCCTGCTTCCCCACCCCATTCCTTGAAATTCTTACCATCAAAAGGTTTTCCGACACAGTTCCTACCAAGCCATTCCTTATTGTGTTGTAGTAGGTAGAAAAAGTTTGACAGGTCATCACCGGACCCTCGAATCGAAAAACCCTTCGGAATAATCAGTTGGGTGAGAAGGCTTCCATGGGGTAATTCTGCCATTACAAAACGTCTTTCGAGCTCGTTTTGAGGCCTACGGTCCAAAATCACACGGTCGCTGTCTGCCTTGTGTGGAACTGTGAACAGTCCACCTGAGATTACGTTCCCTTCTGCATCGCGAAGAGCACGGTCCACTGGCAAAAGACATGCTACACCTGATGCAAGGAGTTTTTGAAACACCGCGTCCTTGTCATCGGGCAGCACTTTAAACACCGCTTTAGTCGGCTTACAGGGTGCTTCATCGTGTGGCGCCCATCCATGCATGTTCATGAAAAGCTTGCGGTGTGTCCCTTTGAGGAAGTCCTTTGGGTTGAGTATTCCTGCTTGTGAAGGTAATGACATGCGATCAGGTTTTACGAAAGTTGCGTTGTTCATGAGTTCATCGAGGTTGAAAGGGGAATGATGGTCATAGCAAGAATCATGCGGTCTAATTTTGTGAATAATCTCACTGAATTGTTTGGTTCCTCGGCTTAAAGTCTCTGGGCATCTAAGCTTAACGAACTTTTAAATTTCACCATGCATACAGCCGGCTTGTGATTCATGTTGATCAGTCCATGGATTCATGAATGCTTGCCTAGCTAAGCCAATTTGATCCCTCTCGGATGTTGGACATCCCCCGTCTAGAAAGGTAAACAAACACCAAAGCATCTGAGTCCATCTCCAGCTTGGATCTTGGCCTCGCCCCCCCGTACGATTTGATGAATCGTGGCTGCCACAACTGAATCTGGCACGACCAGGCGGGACGGAAAAAGTCCTGCGGTTTTCCCCGGTGAAGAGGAAGTCCTATGCCCCAAGTCATGAGATGACTTTCCATGCATCTTTCTGAAAAACCGACCAAATGCCCCGCTGCTGGAAGCGAGGATATCAAGGATCGAATTAGACTTTGGCTTCGCAAAGTCATGTCTCATGTCCCTAGTGTGATTGTTTAGGCATTCTCTGTCTCTTTGGAGTCCTTCTTTCCCTTTCCTAACCCTTTCTTTTTGTCCTTTTTGCTGGAAGTTTCTGACTGGTCCCAGCCCGTGGCACTGCTGTTCCACGACGCTTGACGGAGACGATCTGCACTCTTCTCGAGATCCGCGATCCCTTTGAGGTAAGATGTCACTTGGCCCAGTTCGTCGACGGTGCCGCCAAACCGCACCTTCTGCACCGGGTCGGGTAGGTGGCACAGAAGCCATGCCACCTGCCAGTCTCCGCCATCCAGCGCTGCCTGGTGAACACTTTTGAGGCAAAGGACTGTCTGCAGAGCTGCACGATCCCAACGTTCGGCCAGCATCAATTCCAAGATCTCCGAGAGCATGTAATGGATGCGTTGCAATGTCTTCTGTTTTCCCCACGGGACTCGACGTGAGCCTTCGTGGATGCGAAATGGCCTGCCCTCCGCCCCAAGCTCTTTCTCGAGGTCTCTGACATAGCGACCTACCACTTTCAGCGGGTTCCGCTTCATGCGCCGCTTTGAGGCTTCGAAGCTTTCTACTGCTTTTCCAGCACCAGAGCGTCGAGGCTTTGCTTCTCCATCTTGGCTGAGGTCGCTCTCGCTCGAGCTGTCTTGGCTGCTGTCCCTCCAACGCCGGTCTCGACGTTGATGCTTGGTCTTCTGCATGTCCTTGTAGATCTGCATAGCTATCCAGGCTTTGATGGGATCTTCCTCCTTTCCCAGCTGCCTCAACATCGCCTGACCCTGATCTTGACTGCTGCCCGGCTTGTCTTTGAGTTGTAGCAGGGTGTGACGGCGGCTGCTGTCCTTTAATCTGCTTCTTCTTTTTCCGCCAGGCGTAGCCTTCTCTAGCCAGTTCTTCCGCAGATTGCCCAGAGCACTCGCCATGTTTGGATCTTCTGAAGAAGAACTGTGGTCGCTGCTGCTGTCCGAGGAGTTCTCGCTTTCCTCCAGGGTCTTTCGTGTTGCTGCTCTGCTGGTCTTCTTGGGCTCCTTTGGACTCTCTCCTGCTGAGAGGAAGGCTAGGTCGCTTTCGCCGCTTGCCAGGGCTTCTTTTCCCAGGCTCACCAACTCGCTGATCTCCACCTCTAGCTTGAGATGCTTTGAGTCGTTGCAGAAGGCCACAAATTTGCTCTGTGGGCAACCCAGAAGACAGAAGGTTTTTCCTTTCAGTTCGAACTGGGCCATTCCTTCCGGCATTTCTGACTTGTGTTTTGCTCTGATCACCACTTCCAGCCAGCTTCCCTTGGTGCCCAGCATCACAGCTTGTCGCCATGCTGGAGAGTCACCACGTGCTAGCTTGACGAAGCCTATGGGATGTCCCTCAATGTGCTCCATACGTAGACTGTAAGGTCTTCTGGGTTGAGTCCAAACCTTCCAGCCTCGCCCACAAATCTGATGCCTGCGTCTTCCAGGGAATCTGCTCTACACCAACGTATGCCGGCAAAGGCACCGTCGTTGAGCTCTCTGATCCCGTTATATGCAGTGCTACCGATTGCCCAATGAATGCCCACGAATCGCTCACCCCAAGATGGAATGTGCCAAACTGTATAGCACCTAAATTCAGGATTTGCAATGTCAGCAGAGGTAGGGATCAATCTACGACAAGCCAGTTCAATGCCGTTCCAGTTGACCAGGTGAGCACAGGGGCCTCCAATCAAAGGTCTTCGCAAGGCACTGATTGAACTGCTTTGGCTCACTGGCACAACGGACACTTCAGTGGCTGACACGCTGGCTGAACTCCTTCCCGAAGAATCAGCCACTCTGTCACCACCGCTATGGCGCCGGCAACGGCAAATCACACGGTCCCAAACCACTTGAACATGAAACTGGGAGGCAGCGGTTGATTCATGATGCCATATATTTCGAGAATAGATCGATCAAAGCTTTTGAAGATAGTGAGGGAAAAAAGAACACGTTTCTTGAGAAACTCGGGGTTGTAATGGAAAACCTGGGTTTGGAGCATGGAAGTAGTGAAACACGAGGTTTGCAAGCAAACCCGACAAAAAGGTTTCACACGACGAATACTAAAATCAGCATGTTAAATATCGTCCAACGGAAGGCGACCGGGCTTGCGTGGACCCCCAGTTCTCTCACCCAGCATGGTGCAGCCGATCATGCACTGCTGCCCGTCTTGCGCCCGTCCTGCCTCGGCCTCAGCTGAAACGGCCTCAGTCGTTTCACATGCGCCGCCCGTTTGGGCTCCTGTCCCCTGTCCTCAGGTTCGGTAGGGCCTGTGGACCATGCTAGACCCCCCTGGCACCTCTCGTTCAACCACCGAAACGGAGCTCGGAGGTGCTTGGAGGTTCGGTGTCCAATGTTTTGAAGATACAAGGTGAAACAGCTGCAAAGCTTGGGTTCGTCCACAGAAACGCAGAAACCTGTTGATGCCGCCCAAATGGGGGGTAGTGCAAAACAGCAGGTTTGACCTGCTGTACCGTGCTGTACTATAGTCCCAGTGGTTCCAGGTCAAGTCAACTTCAAACCATAGACAAAACGGTCGGGCCCCTGGTTCTATACTAGCTGCCGGGCAATAAAACGACCAAATGCCCTTCGAGACCTCACCAAGGACCCGAGGAAGGGCCGAGTCTAGGGATCCGTCGACTCGTACCAAACCGACCCGTTCTCCTGGACCCGGTTCGGTCTGCCGGCACCGTCTCATGTCTCAGTGGAGACAGGGGCTTGGACCCGGGAATTGGGGGCTTGGACCCTGGAACCTAACACATCACCGTACCTGACAAGGTATGACTGAATCGCTAGGGGAGGACGGGTGTGTCGGTCGGGTCCGACGATGGAAACGAGCTGAAGCCAACCTGCGGATTTGCTGGACCCACGAGCCGGATCCGGTCACCCACCAGTGTGGGCAGACCGAACCACCGTATAAACCATATGGTTTTACCAAGGATTCTACAAAAAAAAACAGTGTTAAACTGGTCTTGGAAGGCTAGGGCTAAGGAAACAAGAAAAACATGGAAAAACACATAGTTTCCCCACCCAAAAGGATCAGAGTCTGGACCCAAACTGTCAAAACTAGGGTTTTGGACCGAATAAACCTGCAGCAGTTTGAGGATCCATTAGCCTCTCGGCAGGGAATTTACACATAGGGAAGATAACCATCACCCTAAACAAAACCGGGATGTCGTCGCCGCCTGGAATGTCAGTTATCCAGAATTTCCCTGCGGAGTCCAGCCGATCATTTAAACTCTGGTCTAACTGAATGATCCGGGTCCAGCAATCTTCGGCAATATAGATAGTCGAACCGGACTTCTAAGGTGTCCATAGTCTATGACTCTCAGGGTACTGTTCCAGTAGAACCACCTCGGGAAAACACACCCCGTTCATCCAATAGTATAGCGCTAGTTGGAAACCTATCCTGCACCTATGTAGAGGAATCCCTCTTGCTATGTGCAAATAGCCAGCATCATTCAAACATACCTAACACTTCTACCAGGTCATGAACGGACCTCATTTTACTGAACTTGATCTAATCAAGGTGTCTGTTTTCAGGACCAGGAGGACCGACAGGTCAGACTGGACTGGTTCAGGAGTAGGCCACGCCTCGGGCAAGAGCGTGGCATCGTCCACTGCAGGCTCGACCTGCTCTGGTGGCTCAGTCCTCACGAAAGATGCGAGACGGCGAATGGGCCGGACGTGTTCATGGATTTGCGGGGAAAATGATTGGACCGGAAAACATGTGTGTGTGTGTGTTTGTTGATGTCTCATGGATACATACCTAGAACCTCGCTAGGCAATAATTTCCGCCCAACGCCATTTAGGCAGAAAATTCAGCCCGTGTTTGCAAAGAACGCCTAAGCGGCAGCCTCGAGGGTCAAAAACGCCGAGGCACAATCACATGCATTCTTACATGCAAAAAAAAATAACAACACAGAATTTGAATGACAAAAGTTGAGAAGACAAACGCCTGCCACTTGACGCTAATCCCCAGTCCAAAGTTGTTGAAATTTATGGCGCTGACTCCCCCCAAAAGGCTACCATTCCGTTGTCCACCCAACTACTGATTGTAGTGAGGGGGGAACGGGCAAGAACGCCTAAGTAACGGGCAAGAACGCCCAAGTAACGGGTAAGAACGCCTAAGTGACGGGAAGAACACCTACGCAAAAAGATATTAAAGCAATGAATCAAAGCATAGAAAAACTAAAAACATACAAAAGAGATCACAAGAGACACATTAAGTTAATTCCTGACAAACAAATGTACCTCGCTATGAAAATTCCTGGAATCAGTGGTGGGTGGATCCTCATCTATTTGAGCAATGCCACCAAAAGGACAAGAACGCCCAGACGGGGCAAAAACGCCTACAGGGGACAAGAACGCCTAAGCACGGGCAAAGTCGCCTTTACCCACAATAGGCAGAAATTTCTGCCCAAGAAGAGGTTATAGGGTATATATATATATATATGTACCTTTATTTGGGTCTGTGAACCACATAAACATCCGCAGGAAAATCACGTCCTGGTAAAATGCCCGTGGCTCACCAATAAACGCCTGTAGTTCGTGTATAACGCCCGTGGAAAATCATAACAAAATCAAAAACATACTAAAATGCAAGGCTGAGTTTTCAAGAGATGGGTTTCCACGCGGCAAATCAAGAAAACACCTATATAATATATATATATATCCCAGACGCTCCATGTATGCCATATATGCCTACATTGGGGTGGTTTGGGGGGTGAATGTAGGCATATATTCCATACATGGAGTGTGTGAGTATATGTATATATGTAAAAAATTATAAAGGTTTAATCATGTTCAAGGAATCAGGAACAAGGAAAAAACACAAAATATTCCTAGGTTTTGTGATTTACCCAGATTGGACCTCTTTGGTTTGGGAGGGAGCCAAGGCCAGATTCTCTGCACACAGGAAAATGCAGTCAGCGTGGCCAACTTCTTCTGATGGCCTGTCTGCCTCTTTGCAGCCACTCTGAAGGCAAGCTGTCGCCCAAAGCAGCAGCACACAAACGGCAGCAGAACACCAGCAGCAGCACACAAACACAGGCAGCAGCAGCAGCAGCAGCACGACATGTGAAGCGTGTGAAGTGTGCACAGGGTGGTCAAGTTAGATTCCCGGCGGCCACATTTGCATGAGCCGTGTCCTCTCTCAACCAGCCTGCCAGGAGGCGATGCTCGTCACAAAGTCATGCCCGGTCGCAAGCAGTTCCGCAACCAGCCCCTCAAGCGCTGGATTCTCAAACACTTGATTGGCATTGGTCCTCTGGATCCCACTCCCGTACAATAGAAACGCTGCGTTGGTTGCCCTCCGTCGCCCTAGGGAATGGATGAGGGTCACTTCCTGCATCAGGAGCGGCACCGCTTTCACGTACTTCAAGATGCCGTGCAACTTGAGTGCGAACAACACCTCAAGGACCGCAAAGGCCTCAAGGCCCTTGCGACCCCGTTGCATGCCGCAAGAAAAGCCAAGATCAAGGCACCCGGTTGACGCTATGATATCTCTGATTGGATGTGCGCAGATGCTTGGTTGGTTGCCCACAATCAGCACACACGATCTGGGGTCCAGGCAGTCCACTGCCGCCACCCCCGTCCTCGGGTAAATGCGTTCCAGCCGCACATCATTTGACTCCTGTTCCAGCCGCACATGTGCGTCGGACTGGAGGCCCAGCTTCTGGCCTCGATTCTTTTTCTTCAGGTTCTGGACTTGCACCTGTGAGAAATGGCGGACCACAGAGCGATATGGCGGACCACGGAGCATGTCAGCCAGCGAAAATTCCTGATGCGAACACCTGCGTGATGCCGTCTCTTCCAAGGCACTGGTCAGCCCGAAAGCCAAACTGAACGGTGTGCAGCTCGCCGCTGTCGTTACAAGCGATGGAAACAGGCAACGGATTCGGCCAAGGTCTGAGCCCCTCCGACTCGTTGCTATCAAGGAAAAATGAAGAAGACTGCGAGGCTATGAAGAAGCTGGAACGATCGAACGCGCTTCAGGCTGAAAGTGCCAACGATGTGCCTTATGAGTTGACCTGTAGACCGTCGCGAAGTCCCAGCGAAGTGAAACCGAACACTTCAACCAGAGGAGACCGAGACCTGCTGGTAGTGATCGTAAGACCTGAGAGGATCGGAGCCGTCCGGGTGCTGCACCGCTCTCCCCGCGCGGGCGGGGTGTTTCACCTGGGAGACCTGGGTCCAACCATCCGGCCTTTTCTCACCTGAGTCATCCTGAGTCACATGTCAAGACTGACCTCTTCTCCGACTGATCTCCAATTGGTTGGCAGCTTGGCTGCCAGGGACGGCCCGGGCTCGGCGATCTCAGATCGAGAGTCCAGTCACCTGGATCACTGGAGCAGAGATGTGCAGAGATCTGCAGATTTGCCCAAACAGGCCATGGATGACCATGGCCATGGATGGCCATGGCCTTGGACCTAGAGAAGGTCGAATCAGTTCATGATAGTTCCATCTCTCAGACCTGGACCTGGGTGAACCTGGACATCTCAGACAGTAGTGTGGGGTTCAGCCAGGACACCCAGACCGGTCCAGGTTTGGGGACATTGTCCGCCCATATCTGGACCCGACTTCTTTCATATCCTATCAGACTCTAAAAGCAGGTACAACATGGTACAAGCAGACTCCCCATGTTCAGAGCTACGAACGGGTCGACTGTGGATGGCCCCTTCTTGATCTTCGTCGAAACGCAATCGGTCCTCTGCGCTTGTGGATCCATGCACCAAATCTTCTGCCTGAGGAGACCAGTGCCGGTCGGCGAGGATCGACGAGGATCGACTGTGCGCCCTTCTTCAGAGACCAGAAGCTGTTTGTTCTGTTCATGAGGTCAGCTCCTCTTTGGCCCCAATTTCACCGAAATGGGAGAATATGTTCCTGCTTCTGTTCGGTTCAATCATTGAGTGAGTCTCAAATTCGTTTGGGGAATGGACGTCAAATTCACGGAATCTCAGGAGTCACCACGGGCCCACGAGAGATGATGCTGCAAAAACAATGAAGAATCTTCGCATTCCTTCCTCCTGTCTGCGCATAGTTACGGGAAAGTCTACAGGTTCTCCAAAATATGCCTTCGCTTTTGAGGAAAGGAGGCCAAAAGAATTGAGGGATGCTCTGTCTGCACATGCCCCATTAAACCTGGCCTGGGGGGGCCCGATGGCACCTGGGGAGTTCAAGAGAGACCACCCAATCCATCTCAATGCGCGGTGTCCAACGTAGTTTCCGTGCTTTCAGAGAACAGAGAACAAATAGCTCCTCCAAGCTGGATGAGTAGTTCGAATCACCCTGCAGTATGTTGTTGAAACCAAAACTGGTCACCTGAGTCACCTGCTCCCAAACTAGACTAATCTTGAAATCCATCCAAATCCTAAGATCAGTCTAGTTGGCAAGATGAAGCCCAACACATGAAAGCCCAACAACTTGCATCCAAGTCGTTGTTGGGCTTCGTGATGTGTCGTGCAACTTCCCAGTCTTCGGAACACTTGGTGCCCCTATTCGTCGATCCTGGACACGACACCTGGACGCGATTCTTTCTGAGGAGACAAGCTCATCGTAGACGGAGAAGAAGAGGCAGGGCGTGAGCGGTTTTCCTGACGAACAAAGGCTGTCAGCTACACCTACAATCTACAGTGGGCAATGAAGAAAAAGCGATCAATCACCCCAGCACCACTCATTGTGAACAAATGTATCCTTCCTTATAATAGCGATAATAGGATGTTATCTATCCAAATCTTCCAACTGCTTGGAACTAGGTATACGCGTGTCCGCTTGGTAGTGCAATTATTGGATGACGCAAACAAAACAACATCGGTCATTGGCAGCATCTGAGTGTACTGAACTGCTAGCACTGGAACTGTGCTTTCGATCTTGAACTTCATTTGGAAGTCACCAAGTCCAAGCTCCAGAATGCAATCTCCCTCAAACATGGCGGTTTTCTGAACCCTTTTCCTCTGAGTTTCACACAGGACCCTCCTTTTCGTCCCTTGGAAAATGGGCAAGATGGTAACCTGGACACCCAGTCCCAGAAACGGTTCTGGATGCTTCCTCCCAGCATCTGCCACTTCCGATTCTTTTCAGGATGTCCCAATGGCCATATCGGAACAACCAGAACTGTTTCTGCTTGAGACTGGGTTGGAGTCTACCTGCTTTCAGTACCTGCCACTGAACCGGGTCCGCAGCCCCGTTCGCCGTTCGTGTCCCGGTCCTCGATGTGCCGGATGTGCGTCCACCGGAATCTCCAGTACCCTGGCGGGTGAGCTGCAGGAGCTCTGAGTGTTCACCAGATGCAACGGTTTTGGGAGTCCTTGGGAGCAGTGCTAACCGCTGGTCAACCGATGGCCGGATGTGCTGGTTGGGATAATCTGCCAGTTCTCCATTCAGTTTCTATGGTTTCGGGAGATGGCAAGCGTTTGTTGTGCTTGGACCCATCCATTCAAGTTCCAACAAAGACTTCTCGATTGTCTTCAGTGGCCTGAGTCGCATTGAGTTGCTTGTCAATCTGTTGGTTGATCTTTCTGACCTCACTCAATACCACTCATTTGTTTCGTTCCGATCACACCTTCGCGCTATCCTCCTATATCTTCTAGCAAAAAAAACACGAGAACTCTTTTCTCCAAAGATTCACCCTAGGCCTTATGCTTCCAACAACCAGTGTATTAATGGTCCTTATCGTCCTTGTCAAAGAATCATTGTTTTACTGAAGGTCAACCGTTTTTGGGAGCTGCTCTTGGAAGGCTAGGGTTCAGCCTGTCCATCCCCATCACCACGTGCTTCTCGAAACGACTCCACGGTCGACTGACACCGCTCCCACCGACCGCCCACCTGCGCGTCAGGTGTCCGTCCTTCATCAAGTCGTTCAGTAAGCCCTGGGCCACGGCATCGCCGTCACGAACAGCCGAGCAGGCGCCACGTCACGCCGGGACGACGACGCCGGGACCGCCGGTCCCGCATCGGTGGTTGTTTTTTCTTCCCAACGATCCAAGAGGTCCGCGCCGGTGATGTGGACTGTTGAATCAAACATCCCCATCTTCATTCATCTTCTCCCTGGGGCCCTGGGTTACTAAATTACAGGTTTTTCTATTCAGCTGACCTGGTCAGCTCAGCATGAGTCGCTCTCAGCTCAGCGAGCTGCACAGCACACCCGCAATCCGCTCGCTCGTCCGAGCCGTCACGATGTGCTCACCTACACCTGAGCTTGATTTTTCAAAACATCCATGTGGCCAAAAGGATATCATGCACCAAGGGTCTTTCTTAATTAACCATAATTAACCATCCATTTCGAAAAGAATCTTAGATGGTTCCTGATGTTTCAATGTGACGCCCGATCGAAAGCAAACTGCAGAAAAATAACGCTGAATTATTGAATGCGTTTGCTTGCTGAAAAGCCGTGGTTGCGACTTGCGATGTGTTTCCCAGGAAAATCCAAGGTTTGCAAAAGTACCAAACCACCAAACAAGGTCAAGCAATACGTCTTTACATGTCCTTCTATAGATTCCACAGACCTGCACAAACCATTTTCTCTCGACCCTGGCGCAAAAGCCTGGCAAATCCTGCCAATGCTCATTGCAATCACATCAAGATTCATCTATGCCAAGGTGTTGGTCCTTTTCGAGAATGCGAATTACTATACAAACCCAGAACATAAATTAGGTACTCCAAAACAGGAGTCAATTTGGTTCTAGGAAGCTTTACAAAACTCTCACCATCAGTCCATTGAAAGCTTTGTCCAGACCGAGGGAAATTCCTCGGTCGGCCAGTTG